CACCGCGCGAACCGTCTTCCCCCCCTGCGCCCCATTCTCCCCCTCCACCCACTTAGTTTATCATCAATCAAATATTAGTTAAGTTCTTAATTACTTTAATCCCTAAAATCTTTTTCAAAATACTTTTGTAACAATCTGCGATCAGCCCCTTCGAAATTTCTTTTGAAATACATTGAAACTAAGTAGTTAATACTTCGAAAGCTCATTATTTCCGAATTTCTTTTTCACAATTTCTTTAAATAATTCATCTCTGTTTGGAATACTTTTTATTTCTTTCCAAATTTCTTTGGAACTCCTTTTTGCAATTCGATTACGTTTTTATTAATCCTTTTTCGAAAATTTGAATTTGCTTCTTTTCATTGCTTCAACTATTCTTGAATAAATTCTCGAAATTAATTCGGAAATAATCACCCTTTTCTGCAATTTCGAAATTTCTTCTGAAATATTATTTTTGAACCTTGAAAATAATTAATTTTTACAAAATTATTTTGCAATTTCTTTGAAATATTTTGAAATTAATCAATCGGAATTTCCTTTTCCTCTTTGAAATTTCCTTGAATACTCTAGCATTAATCTCTTTTATATATACTCCTAATTCCTTGCGAAATTTTCTTGCAATTCCTTTTAATTAATTAGTCCATTTCTGAAATTTAAATTCATTTGAGTTAATTCCTATTTCGAACTTCTTTTCGAATTATTTCTTCCAAAATTGCAACAATTTTTTTTTTTCTTTCTCTTTTCCGTAATTCGAAAATATGTTTTTTCCAAATTCCACATTGTCTTGTAAATAAATTTAAATCTAAGTTAGAATCTATTTTTTTGAAATTAATTACCTCTTCAAGCGTTTATTTTTGAAAATTTCGTTGAGCAAATTTCTCCTCTTAAAATTTTGTTCTACCCATATTTTGAATTAATTTCAAATAAATAAAATTCCAAGTCGGAATAAATTTATTTACTCAAAATTAATTCCCACTTTCCCTTCCCCCCCAACCTTATTCCATTCGAAAATCTCAGCAATTATCCTTATTTTGAATTTATTGATAAAGAAATTGTGTCCCCCATCCCCACATGCCACCACGCCAAACCAAGAACTCCCAACGTACCGCCGCTGACGCCGCCACTGCTGCTGCTGCATCCTCCACATCTATTTCAGCCGTGTCCTCCACCCCCTCTTCCCCCAACATGGCTCAATCATCCATCAACATGTCCGATCTTCGCTTCGACTCCGTCGACAGCATTGCCCGCGAACTCGCAGGCAATCCGCCAACTTCGACCACCGTCACCCCGGAACTTGCAACTTTCCTCCGAACGTTGACCGCCCTCCAATCCTCCCTTGACACCATCAACACCACCATGGCCGCCATCTCCGACTGTGCCACCACGCTTGAGGGAAACACCCCCGCCATCACGGTCGCCACCACGACCACACCCTCCTCCTCCACACCCCAAACCACCCCTTCCTCCGGACAAGCCGCCGCTTCAACCTCCACATCAACATCACCACCATCTTCATCCACCACTACCTCCACCGTGGCCACTCCACCTCCCCTCTCGCCCAAGGCGAAGACCCCCGCCGTCACACAGTCATCAACCATCCCCCCCCAATCACAACCCCTCTTATCCACCTCCACTATCACCTCAAATATCCCCAACTACACTCAGATTATCCCACAAGCTGTGTATCCCGCTCCTCCACTACTTCCTCCAAATGCACTCATCCCCACCAACCCCGCCAATGATTTCACCCTGGTCGACTCCCCCACCCCCACCCTCGACTTCAATGCCCTTGCCGCCATAACAAACAGAGAAGGCAAAATCCCCCCATCATTCCGCGCCAATGAGACATGATCCCTCGTCTGCGCACATACCCAGTCTTTCATGCATCAAAGTTGTTTATATATCGTGATGCTAAATCCTTCAACTATCGTGAAGACATGATCCCTCGTGCAATCAATGGCGGTCACGAGATCGATAGAATTAAAAGACACCTAGGGGAAGGACGTAATAGACAGTGCCAGATTCATTTCATGTATCACCCGTTGGACAATCTCTATTGGATCTCAAAGAAAGAACTGCTGCGCAGCGCACCTCGCGCTGTTAAAGCATATGAGCAACAAATAGCCTCTAATGCTGTACCAAAAATTTCTGCAAACTCACTGCTACTGAGTACTCACAAAATCTCTTTGCTATGTTCGCTTACGATGCGTTTGTCGGGGACTCAGAATGAGTTACTCGCTCAAAGGGACCTCGCTCTTGAGAGGGGGGTAGTGGGGGTAGTGTAATGACCTGCCAAACACGGACTGAGACACGCAGCTGATTTCTGATTTTTGCTCATGGAATGTATGCCTTACTGAGTTTCCCGCTTGTTGCTGAGTTTTCTAAGTCTGTGTTATGATTCTGGTTGTTCGTTGCCTAAAGGCCAACACTCACTCACATAGACTTCCGGATATGCCCATACATACACAGAAGGAAGGGGAGAGGATAGGAGTATGACACTGCACAGGGAGAGATAAACACAGCGGAAGACTTGACCATGCGATATGACAGGGTACACTGAATGCGCAATTCACTCCACTGAATCCTCACAACCAGTCATAAAGGAAAGCTGAGAAGATCACATCCATGAAACAATGAAACGATGATAGTCCAGACACAGTAGAACACTGTTTATTAAACTCAGAGTCCCGAATTGTCAGCATAACTTCAGTACCACATTGCTCTGCTCAGAAATGAGCAGCGCTTCATTCCCCAACCCTGAATAACACTCGTGACACCCCCTGAGTCCCAGAAACATCAAGCGCCACCCAGATACAGCCCCCTGGGGGCAGCACCACCCTGAAACAGGCCTCTGGGGCCAAGCGCCACTCAGAGGATGAAGAAGAAGACCAGCGCCACAGTATCTGATGATGACGAAGTGTCGGAAGACTTTCCGGGTGGAAGTCTGCAGCAGTGCCACCAAACCCTGTCAAGATGACCTCTGAGGAGAAGCTGCAGCTATGGCTGCAGCGCCCTAACCCTGGAACCCCACTCCGGAGGAGGGTCCAGCAGGGCACCAACTCTCTCGCCTCCTAGCAGACTCCAGATAGCTCGGACCTCTGAACAGCCCCACGTGCTCTCAGAGGACAGCGTCAGCCCCAGCTATGGCTGATGCTCCGAAGGTCCAGCTATGGCTGTCTCCCTCAACGCTGAGCCGTCACCACTTCCAGTTCATGCGTTGTGCAGCAGCGATGTACATGGCAGCAACCGCCAAAATCCCTGAACCGATGTGCCCAATTTATCTATAGACTCAACTAGCCTAGACTCGACCTAGACCGGACTGACTGACCGACCGGTACCGTTTCTGTTTTGGCATCTCGGCCTCTACCGGACCCGGCTATAGGCTATAGGACCGTCTATCAGGGCCTGTCTGTCCTAGGGGTAGCCCGGGCCTGCTATCCGCAGTTAGGGTAGCTGTAGGGAATCAGGTTAGTACCGGGCCTGCATTTTCCCGGATTTACAGATATGTCCCTCACGAACTACCCGCACAGGTAGGTCTCTCGGTTAGCCCTCAGCCAAACAAAATTACGAATCTGTCCTACCTATAGTACAGCCTCGACAGAGAGAGGCTACAGGCGACCAGAAAACAGCAAGTCATTGCATCTGTGTGGGTGCATGCTTGCTGGTCTGCATGCCTGTCTGAGTGCCTGTCGGCTTGAGTGTGTGTGTGACCCGCAAGGGCACTTGTTTGTTCGGAAGGCCCGAAGGGCCGGTACTTACCTGTGGCTGTGACATTGAGGGTTGCAGCGGGGAAAACACTCAAGTGGCGGGGAAAGAGGCCTGCGACACTTAGAGCAGCGGAAAACACTCAAGTAGCAGGTTGGTCGGTACCACACCAAGTAGAGGTAGATGTGCCGGGTACTCGAGGCCGAGCAGAAGAAGACAAAAGTTGGCATTTTTAGAGGCCCAGTAGTTGTAGGCTAGGTCTAGGCGGGTACCAGTCCAACCAGTCTGATTCTAGGGCCTGTACGGGCAATATCAGAGTCTGCAATGATGCTTCCCTCCGGAAGGGAGGAGGTACCGGTTGCTTGGAGGCCGTGCCGCCTAGGAAGTCACTCCCCAAGAGGCAAGCAGGCCGCTATATCACCAGGAGGAGCAAGGTGCTCCTCCTCATTGTCGGTGTGCAAGTTTGGCGACACACTGGTCGGAGCGCTGGTTGGAGCAGCGCTAGCATCAGAGCAGCGCTGCTGGGGAGTAGCAAGGACAAGAGGAGGAAGAAGACCAGGACTAGGAGGGAGGAGCGCCAGAGGTACTCACCTGGCTATGGTGGATGCCATCTTAATCACCTTGGTGGGCGCTGGTAGAGCTACACCAAGAAGCTTTGAGGCAGAGTCAGGCATGGCGGCCTGAGCTAGAGCAGCCATAGCTGCTTTGTGTTGTCCTTTGCACAGCAGGGCGGCACCCTGGTAGTCCGCCATAGCCTCGGCCGCGAGAGGAGGAGGAAGAAGAGTAGCCATGGCTATGACGGACCTCATGTGATGCCTGCAGTAGAAGAGGGATTCGAACATTGATTCTGGTTCAGCCATTCAACATTGTTATTATTATTATTATTTCTTGTTCGAATAAGGGAGGAGGAGAGTGGTTGGCAAAGAAGAAGAGCATTTTCATTGGTCTTTGCTGGTGTACATCTTCTTCTTCTTCTTCTTCTTCATTCTTTCATCTTCTTCTTCTTTCCCTCTCTCTCCTCTCAAGTTTATTCACTTCTTTTCACAATTGGACGACATTGTACTTTCTGATGAATGTGTACTTCGAAATTGGCCAGGATCATAACAATGAAAGGGATGTGGTTATGTACTTCCTTGCACTGTGCATGTTCTGAGGTCATGCCTGCTTGTTGTGCAACCCTTCTCGTGTAACCTATCAGATTGCCCGCCGGCTTCTCGGGAAGATCCTTATTGATCTCATGAACACCAAGGACGAGGCCATCAACGTTGTACAGCTCATGTCCAATCTCAGCAGAGGCTTGTCGCCCAATGGTAAGCACTCAGGTTCAAACTTGAGTCACGTGAAACATGTCCATACAAATGGGGCCTCAGCTTCCCACGCCAATGAGAAGAGTCGATCACAAACATCTGGCTCTTCAAGTCCTCAAGGGAAATCTTCTCGTAGTCAAGCCAATGGCGACGTGGACATAAACCCTGCGATTTTGAATGTAAGGAACTCTGTGTTCGAGTACATAAATAGTCATAACAATGGGAATTCGTCAAGCTCCACTTCAGACGGGATGCCAGCAATCTTGGGAACAAGCTCACGTCCTGATGGTCCTCGACGGGACTCCAAGTCGAGTGAGATATCTAGAGGTAATTGCTCAGAGGCAGAAGAAGACGAATCCGACAAGGAGGCTCAGTATCGGCTTGATCCAAAGTAAGCACTCTTTTTTTGCCTTTTTTTTTTTTTCAACTCCTTTAAAGTTCTTTTGCAATTCCGCCATGTTCATTTTTTCTTGTCTACCATTTGTGTTGAAGCTGCATAGCTGCACTTCCTGCTGTGATGACTGGGAAAGTTTGCACGCAGACTCCAGTTTTAGAGATGATGTCCCCTGCCATGTGGCCAGGAATAGGCCGTCCCTCACGTGGCAGAAAATCTCTTGGCAGTTTTGTTCTTGGTTGTTTTTTTCTGGCCTATTCTCACAAAGAATGCACAAATCTTTGGATCCTGGGAACGTCACTCCTCTCTGTGCAGGACAAATGGTAAGACGTGCAATGCATAAAGCACCTCACATCCCCTCAATACAGGCATCATAGGAGAAATGTTTTTTAAGGGGGTAACCCCTGACATTATTTCATTCAGCTGATTCTATGAGGATTTGAACTGATGGTCTGCTTATTAACAAATATGCATGTACCATGCAACGATATGCAGTGTGTAGACCTCACAGGAGAAAGCCTACGTACACAAAGTAATAATGACAATGGCAACGCCATCCAATCTGCACAGCAGCTGGCATACAGCACATCACAGCCCTTTTTTTCCCGGATTCGCAGATTCTGCTGATTTTTTCTCTGCAAACTTTGTGCAAAGTTCAATTCGAGCTACCTTGCTTGCGTGAGGTTCCTGTATTTCTGTTTTGAGGCTCCCCTACTTGCGGCCTTTGCTAATTCCTCCTCGAAAACTACATACCAAGAAGCACTAATTGAAAAATCTCCAAAATTGCAAGTTCCTCGAAAACTACATACCGAGAAGCACTAATTGAAAAATCTCCAAAATTGCAAGTTACAGGAAGTAGGGATATGCGGCCTGAGAGAGTTCCAGCCCCCCCCCCCAAAAAAAAAAATCTCCCAATAATTGTTCCATCTATATGTCACATGACAATATTGATACTTTGTCTTTGGTGCAGTACAGATTCGAATTTTATGATGCTGCTTTTCAACCAGGGCTGTGCCGGCAACCGCCCGGTTGGACCGGGCCTCCAACCCATGGTGGTCCAACCGGAATTCCGGTTGGGCCCAAAAGTGGGTCAATTTTTATTTTATTTTATTTTATTTTAAACATGGCTGGACTGCGCTTGCCGAGATCTCCCCGAATCCGCAAAGAAAACTTTGAACAGAGAAGTTTCGTTGTTGTTGTTTTTTTTTTGGGGGGGGGGGGAATTGAT